CCTTACTTATCTTCTCTCTGTTCTATCCATTATTAAGAATAAAGCATTGAAGTCTTCAGCTGTTATTGTAGAATTGCCTATTTCTTCATTTAATTTTATCAATTTTGTTTCTTGAAGTTTTGTAATGTTATTTATTATGCAAGTATTTATAGATGTTTTGACTTAAGGTCAGGAATAGTTGAAGATAGAAGAAAGTTTATACAGTACTCTGCAGGAGCAGGAAAGAAGGGAATTAAAGTAAATAAATTGATAAGGCAAAATATTTCAGAAGATGGGCAGATAAAAAATCAAGGGCTATAGTAGATTGACTTTGTAGAGCAAAAGCTATCCCATCTTCCAAGACTACAGGGACTGTGTTTTTGGACCTATTCACGTTTATGAGGAACATGACTGAAATGAAGAACCTGATACCTGAAGGTGTTTTGTTTCTACATACATCAGAGGAGAGTTTGCATGTTAGTATGGAGACAAATCTTCATCTGAGGAGAAAGTTTGGAATACTTGCTGAAGTTAAGGAAAACCTCTGATCATTAAAAACCTGGAAAATCAAAAGCATGTTCTATTCTAGGAACAGTCTTTTCAGGGCCTCAGTAAGGGCAACCAACTACAAACTTTTCCCAAGACTTTTAAAAGGTATACACTGTAAGTGGCTTTTTGCCTCAATCATTAGTATTAGCTACATATATTCTTCTCCTAAAGCTGTTAATCACAGTCTTTAATCCTGGAGAAAATAAAATAATTCAAAACTCTTGCTGAACTCCCAGCTAACACTGAAGAACACAAATGTACTACAGTAGTGGTGTTCATGCTTATGTGGTTTTCAGCACAAATGCTCCACTCCTCCAAACATAAAAATTGAGATAATAGAGGTTCTGGTTAGTAAACTGGGTACAACAGAAAACAAGGGTGCTAAAAGGGATTTGGGATAGTAATTGAAGCTTCTTTCAGGTAAGTAATCAGTGAGTCCATGCTAGTTTAAAAAAATAGTTTGCTAGAAATAAAAGAGGTTAAAGGGAACACTTTCTTCCATTTTTGCCCTTTTTACTCTTCCCTCATGTGAGGACACAGAGTTTTTCCCTTCTGCCATGGGAGGATGGAGCAAGGAGTTGCCATCTTAGAAGCAGAGAGCAAGCCCTTGTCAGACAGTGAATTTGTTATTGCCTTGATCTTGTACATCACAGCCTTCAGTATGGAAAGAAGTATATTTCTATTATTTGTAAGTTTCCTAGTTTATGATATTTTCTTATAGCAGCAGGATGAGACTATAGCCAAATTATTTTTGAGAAAGATGCCAAGATCATTCAATGGGGAAAGGGCAGCCTTTTCAAAGAATGGTGCTAGGAAAGCTGGATGTCTATGTACAAAAGACTGAATTTAGACCCCACAAGACCATATACAAAAGTTAACTCAAAATGGATCAAAGACGTAAACATAAAAAGACAAAATTATTAGGACAAAATATAAGATAAAACTTCATGACATTGGATTTGGCAATGATTTCTTGGATATGACACTAAATCTATAAGAAAAAAAAAGAAAAATAGACAAATTAGATTTTCTCAAAATTAAAATCTTTTGCATGTCCAAAGATACTACCAGGGCCGGGGATTTAGCTCAGTGGTTCTGGTGCCTGCCTCACAAGAGCAAGGTCCTGAGTTCAATCCCTGGTACCAAAATAAAAAGACACTACCCCAGTAGAACAGAAAGGCAACTTATAGGAGATAAAATAATTGAAAATTATATATTTGCTAGCAAAATAATATCCATCATATATAATAATTCCTCAAACTAAAAAACAAGAGAATTAATCTAATTGAAAAATAGGCAAAGGACTTGAGTACACATTTCAGCAAAGATGTAAGAATCACTGATAAGCACAAGAAAAGATGATGAATATCAGTAATATCATGTATTCTGGGCAACTGGGTTGATGGCTTTGCTCACTAAGTTGGGCCACATTTTATTTTAAAAGTAAAGCACACACATAGTCTCACAATACCCACATGTACATGTATACACACGCACACACCTACACACTTGACCACACCTATCCACTGCCAATATATATCTGGAAAAATGTCCACAAGCATCCCAAACAGCGTGAGATTTATGAATTCAGCAAAGTATCATAGCCAGTCAGCCACTAGCACTGGCTCTAGACTGTAATCTTGTACTTAATTGTGCTAACACTCCTTCATAATAAAGTAGCAAATTGAAGTGATTTTCAAATAGTGTGGGTGACCAAAGGGAAATCTTTTCTGTCTCCAGTAAGTGTAGAAGGTTATTAATGTGCCAAGGACGGCTCCCCTACTACGCAGTACATTTAGCCACTTCCTCCTTTCTGTGCTCACAGAAGCTGTGATTATCAAATTCTAAAGCAGTAGTTTGAAAAATGATTTTGCTTTTGAGATTTTATGGGCTACATACACTTATATTTTATTTCTGCTTGCCATGGGAGTTGAGTACCTGCTATTGACATAAAGTTTATAAAGCTTCTGAAGAGTAGGCATGTTAAAGAAGGATAAAACAGGAGTGCTGGCAATTCTTCCTCTGCCTATGATTTTCTTTTTACATTTTAATCCCACAATTTTAATTTTAGTAGTAATTATATGTGCAGAGGAGACACAGAACACATAGGAAACACAATTATAAAGAAAGTAGAAAACAGTTTAATGAAAAAAACTCAGATATCAGAGCATGGACTTTAGAATATGGCTTTTGAGTCATAAAGACTTTAGTTTCAGTCACACACTATTCCGTATGGTCTATAAAAGGTGACTTAATCATTTAAACAATTGAATGAGGTAAACATTATTCATATCCCATTTACAGATGGGTAAGGAGAGGTACGGAGAAGTTGGCAGCACATCCAAGGTATGTAGCCAGTAGGTAGCAGAGCCTATATTAGCAGAGATGGGTATTTGGGTTCTCACAGTAGAAGTAGTAGTAGCCACCATCAATCCAACAGCTAATTTTTCTCTAGATTCTCTGGTAATATCTACCTACATGGTACATAGTAAGACCTGAAAATATTAGTTTTTAAACTTTAAGTCATGAAATACACCACTTATAATGTAGTAGTGATTTTTTTATTTATAACATATTGTTGTTTCTTTATAATATTCGATTCAGGAGAATAAAAAGTATATCTGAAACTAACATTTCTTAACTAATATGCTTGTGGCAGTCATTTGATACAATTTTCAGCAGCAATGTAAATTGAGTATCTACGATTTTATTTGCAATTGTAGTCTACTTTAGGATAATAGCTGATATCAAAAAAGAAAAGAAACAGGAAACCAACCTATCCCAAACATCATTAGATAATGGGTCATTTTGATATGTGTCTGACAAAAATGTGTTTTTGAATATATCTGATGAAAGGGCATAACTATATATGCATCTCAAGTACCATAGGTGGTCCTGATAAATTATTCTAAAGTAATTTAGAACATTTACAGATGAAATGAATACAAGCCATAAAATAACATATTTTAAAATGGCTACCGAAAAGAGGAAGCCATTCGTGTACCAAACACCTATGAATTTTATTTTCCCTTAAAGAGCACATTTGGTTAAGAGCATGCACTATGAAAGTAGTATTGCATTATAATGACTGAAGATTTTGCTGAATTTGGCTTCTGTATTAAATCTAGACATCAAGTTCAGTCACAATGTAAATATATCATCACTGCAAATATTGAGAGCAGCTGGAGAAGAGGGCACAGAATCAAGAAGAAATGAAAATGAGATCAGGGCAGAAAAGAGAGATGTAAACAGAACTTGTCCAAATAACATGGGGCAAATATGAAATGCAGGCAGAATGATTAATTTTTACATAAAATAAAAAGAAAGAGAATATAACACATTCCAAAAGGCAAAGTATCAGCCATTTCATAAGCAAGAAAAATAGTTGTTTCTGTTATTAGGTTTATATTGAAGAATATAGTGACATGCAAACACGTGACCTCTGGTGGCACATAATGGCTTTTAAAATCTTAGACACTCTACTACTCTGAAATATAACTTCCTGTTTCTTTCTCGCCTTTTGTTATTTTGTACTATATAAAACTAATGATTTTTTTGTATATCCTTTTGTTGGTACATTTTAGGTGTACAATATAATGACATTCATCATTGGAGATATGCACCTTTACATACTCTCTTGGTCCTTTTTTTTTCCCCCCTTCTCTTGCCCTCCCTTCAACCCCTCCATCCCTCTCTATTTCTAAAGACTTTGTTTCCTTTTTTTCATTTTCTCATATTAATTCCATTCCCTAATATTTTTGTATATACTGTATTTTTTAGGGAAAAGTCATTTTAAAAAGAATACTTATTGTCCTAAAGCAAATGACTGCTAAACGATTTCTATTATTTCTTTTGTTTTCTGAATAAAGAGCCAAATGAACTTGAGAAACAAAGTTAATATTAATATGAACCACTGTTGACAAGCATACAGAAATTTAAGGGGTTGAACATTACAGACACTGAATAAAATATCATACTAAATTGTTAAATGTTGTAGAGCAAAATGAATGGGTGTATTAGGCAACTGAGTTTCTTTAAATTTCTTTCTTCCTGATAATGTCATTTGGAATGTATGTGCATACACGTGTGTGTGTGAGCATGTGTGTGTGTATGCATGAATGTGAATTAATAGGGGAAATCAATTATATTATTAAGTGTACATCCTGCCTCCTTAGTGATACATTCTAATTTATCACAGTATCAGAGAAATGTACCCTAGAGAAACTGCTACCATTCTTCACAGAAAATCCATGCATAACATTATGCAAAATTTAATTTATGATAAATGATTTCAAATCTAGGGCCTGGGATTTAGCTCAGTGGTTCTGCTGCCTGCCTCGCAAGCGCAAGGTCCTGAGTTCGATCCCTGGTACCAAACCAAACCAAACCAAACAAAACAAGAACAAGGTCATGATTTCAAATCTAGAACTGAGAATAGCTTATTTAAATGCCATCAGAAAAGAGTACCTTACCCGCAAAAAGGAGTCTAGGGATCCATTCTCCATATATTCCACCACAATCATTACTGGTCTGCCTGCAAAAGACCAAGAGAACATATAAGGATTAGAACAATTACAGAAATATGTGTTGCAGTTAAGAGATTTCCAGCTGTGGTGACTAAATTATTTGTATTTTATTAATAGAAATTCATTTTCCAACCTGATTCTACAAAAGTAGGATCACATCATAACATATGCATATGTCAATTTCTTTTTAGCATTATTTCCTTCTGAGTATAAAGGGGGAACAAATTACAGTATGAATTACAAAGAAACCCAGCATTTTTTTTCCCTAAAGCCCTGAAATCACTTAGATTATATACATATATTTTTTGTCCTCTAGCTTTTCTTTAGAAAAGTCTGCAAGCCAAAGTTGGGGTTAAGTTTAAGCTGTTACTTTTGCTGCTTTTTAAAGCTGTGGTACAAATTCCATTATGGTACAGCAATTTTGGCTGACTTACATTAGAGTGGCACTTCTGAAACATTCCTAATATAAAACAGAAAGGAGAAATTCATAAATTATTTTATGAGCCTTTAAGCAGAAAAAATTCAGTAAATTGATGTATGCTACAAAGTTGGTAGTATTTGTAGTAGTTCCTGATCATCTCTTTATGGGAAATAGATTTGATCAACAGAGCAATGGTGGCAGTACATGAAAAATAAGTAACTGATTTTGTACTAGTCTTGTGCAGAGGCTAAGATGAGAACTGAACATCATTTATTTCTTGGTTTATCATATCAATTCATATAGCTCCCAATACACCTCTATTAAATAGAATATTCATCATAAATAACTTTGATTTATTTTGAAGATGAGAATGCATTTATTCTGCTCAATTGCCCATGTTTAAAAGATAAAATTTCAGATGAAGGGAAAATGGTATTTACCTGAAATAAGTATATGTGACATATTTACTTTTGCTTCTATATTTCTTGCTTTATATTTGAATTTTTGTTGGCAATTTTATCTGGCCTGTGCATAGTTTTCCCCTATGACACAAAAAGGATGTGGAAAGAAATTGTGTGTACAGATAGCAATGATGGAAATATTAGATCTCATTATAATTCCTTTTTTATGAATTCAAATCTTACAGGTTAGAAAGGATGACCATTATAAATTACTACAATGTATGCAAATGCTAGATTTTACATTTGAACCTACATTTTAAAGAAAGATATGTTGAAGTTTAAGTGTGTTAATAAAGCTCCCAATTTGCCATGCATAGAATAAAAACCTAAAAAAGTTTTCTACTTGTCCTGGATTTAATATATTCTGTAAAATTCCTCAAAGCTATTTATTTCACCCAAACCAGAATAAAGAACTTTATCAGCAATTATTGAGATCAAGTGAACTGTCAGCACTCTTGTGGGTAGGGATCTAGAAGATCCAGGTTTTAAACCTGAAAGTTCCATAAACTCCTCTATTTAGCCAGAGAGAGCTTAAAGATAGGAGGCTGCTGCAAACACTTAGGTGACAAAGCGGGGGAGGGGGTATAAAAGATCATTTTTGTACTTCATAAAAATTCTGAGACCAATGTTCTAGTTTGAATGACAATTGATAACAGATGTTAATGGGGAAAATTGAGCTATTACAACCATGACTAAGTTCTTTCTCCACCTTTACAATCTGTATTGACAGTGGCATCCAGAGGAACATTTTTAGGTTTATTTTTAAACATGTATCCCTTTCATAGTGTCAGAATGCAAAGAGCTTGCAAGGACTTCACTTTTTATCTAACTTCTACATACTATTATCCCTGTTACACAGATAAATTGAGGGATAAAAAATTAAAGTACTTGTCCATAGTCTTATAACTGGTAAGTGGCAGTATGAGTCAATCTATCTCAGACTTTTTAACCTTTATTTTATATCAGATAAAAGCTCCAAGTCACATTTTGTTAGCCAGTTTTTCCTAGTGAGGGACCACATCTCTCTTAACCAGTCATAGCATCCACTGCTCTCCCAGCTGTCATTAACCCTTACACTTGTCCCATCTTGCCTCCTGCCTTTACTTTTGGTACTCAGTTGTCAGGATTATTTCTCAATTTGCTTCTCTCTAAGAGTGCCACACATGCCCTCCACTCCAGAGTTTATACACTGCTCCTCTTCCTTGCAAGTTTCACCCAGTGATATTTTCTTTACATTCCCATCACATCTGTGTGCACTGAGAATTGTTATCATGGCTTTGTATTAGGTAATTTTACCTTTTGCTCATAAATGCTTTGTATTTCCTTCACTGGGATTCTCAAGATCACTAAGCACAGTAGTTGCTTCTTAAAAATAAGGTAATTTTTCTTATGGATTTTCTATTCTTAAGAAATTAACATTGAAGTATTTCAGCAAGATTCTGGTTCATGTGACCATAAGGCACTTTGAAATTAGTTCTATATATAATTCTTTAGAAAATATTTTAGGAATCTTAAAATTCATCACTGATAAGTTTCACTTCTCATTAAGAACAATAACAAATGAAGCCTCCACAGTTTTTTTGTGGAAGAAGATAGTTGTTCTTGTCTACAGGAAAAGGATAAGAGATTTTGTGATTCATTGTCCATATATAAGTGCTTTCCCAGCAGATCTTGATTCTAATGCAGTTTAAAACATCCATAAAATCTAGGCTATTTTGAAGGAAAAATCTAAGAAATTCACTTTGGGTATCTTTGAAGATCTCTTAAAACAAACTGATGAGACTTCTAAAAAAGATTGGGAATTTTGAAAACTGACATTTAAGGATCTCGGAGTTTATCCACTGACTGTGAAGGTGATCTTGTGACCTAAGGCATTTTGTACTGGCTAAAAATATACAAAAGGGAATATAATGAAATATTTTGAAAATTTAGAAAGAGAATCCATTACTTCCAAATAGATTTTGCAAGAGCAATAATGCCATATATAATTTTTACATATTGAAAAATAAGATACAAGCAGTGACTTCTTTCACCTGAAGTAGCTTTAAAGAATAGCATTCTATAATATGTCTTTGAATCTTTTGGGAACATACCTAGAAGGAGAATAGTTGGGTGGAATGTAATTTCTAGTTTTAGTTTTTTGAGTAATTTCTAAATTGATTTCCATGGTGGTTGTACTAGTGTACATTCCTACTGACAGTGTGGAAGCCCCCAACACACATAGCCTCAACCCAAAATACAAATAAATTTCAGAGCAAAATAAAAGATAGATAATAGGATACAAGGAGATAGATCTTGTGAAAAAGGATAGAGGATCAAGAGATGGAGGTAAGGGGAAGAGAGGGGGAGGAAATTTTAAAAAGAATTAAGATGTAGTACACACATGTGACTCCCCACAATGAATGTAATTGCTATATACTGCAAACAAGTACTAATAAAAATAACAAAAAATAGCATCTTAATTTTCATAATTTCTTTTATACTTATCTATTTTTATTGTAAATTTAATAATGAACTATTACGTTGCTTTTAAGCTTTACAGTATAACTAACTTCCATACTCCCATATAGGAAACCAAGAGGAAATAAATTACATATTAGATGCTAGCAGTAGTCTAAGGAAACAATTCTTTGTTTCAACTAATGGCTGGTCTTGATTGAAGCTATCACAACAAAATACAAGACGAAAATCTCCAAAGTGAACATTTGAGTTACATGTACATACTACATCTTTTCCACATTGTTGCTAGAAAGGTAAACTAGTACACCCACTATAGAACTCAGTTTAGAAATTCCTCAAAAAACTGAAACTAGGAATTACAACTATTCACCTTCACAATACAGTCAGTGGATAAACTCCAAAATCCTTAAATGTCAGTTTTCAAAATACCCAATCTTTTTTAGAAGTCTCATCAGTTTGTTTTAAGAGATCTTCAAAGATACCCAAAGTGAACAACAAAAAAAAGATACCCAAAGTGAATTTCTTAGATTTTTTCTTCAAATTAGCCTAGATTTTATGGATGTTTTAAACTGCATTAGAATCAAGACCTACTGGGAAAGCACTTATATGTGGACATGAATCACAAAATCTCTTATCATCATTTTTCTATAGCCAAGAACAATTGTTTCCTTTCACTGGGACTTATAGGGACTACTGACAGATACATATTTTTCAAATACTTTCCAATACTTACAGTAGTTTTGATAAAGGAGGTGTGGAAAAACCATGTGATCATAAGATTATATTTTTCTCATGTTACTGTTAAAATTAAAAAAAGAAAAACGTTCTTTAAATGTCCTACAGAAATCATGGAAAAAATATTTGCAGTGAAATAGGTTTTTCAATCCTCAGGGAAAATCTGTGAAGGAAATGGATCACAGAGATTTAACATTTTCATGTAAGTAATGAATTTGTGCTAGATGTAGTATTATCTATCAGTCCGGCAATTTCTAACGTGCAGTCAGTAAAATGAAAAATGGAAAAAAAATCTCAGCAATCTCCATAGTCTATTACAGATTAAAATAATTGTAGCTTATTTAGATTTCTATCACATCTATATTTTCTCTGCCAGGTAATAAAATTTGTGACGATAACTTGGATTGACTAAGTGCTTGCGTTTTTTCCTCTCTGTATCTAATTCAATACTCTGAGCCAGTTCTTTGGTCTATTTCTACCTCTCTTGTTTCTGTTGTATAGATAGTGAGTTATAATTATAATCTCTAATGGATTTGACAATAAATGAAATAATTTTCATGTTCTTATGCAGTCAAAATATATGAATACGCAAATTTGAAGTTATGATATATTAAAAATATATATTGTATATATTAAAATATATTATATATATTAAAAATTATTGTTTTTATTCACATAAGTACTGAAGTAAAACTATTTCCTCTTAGAGTGTTGGCTGGTGATTATCAGATCATATCACAATTCTCATCCTCAGTGAGTTTAAATTCAAATATTTAAAAAATTTTTAAATTTATTTATAATTTATATTTAAAATCATAAAAACATTCAGTGAATACTTAGTATATTAAACAATTTTTAAAATTCCTACTATTTACCAAGTACTCTTCTGGGTTCTGGAGACCGATCCTCAATCACTAGAAGATCAGTGCTT